GTTGCTTAATTGGTTGATGAACCCCAGTATCGATTCTATGCTGTGTCAAACTGGCTCGAACCACGTCAGAAGATGAGCGGGAGAAAACATCTGGAATGACACGTTCGGCAGCATTCCTCTCTTCATTGTTTAATTGTTCATTTTGCAATAATTCTGATGTAATGCTTTCTGAAGACAAAGATTCTGGGGTGTTATTCTTTTGTTTAATACTGGTCACTGGAGTACATGCTGCAACCACTTTATCTTAATAACTCTAGCCTTCTCAGTCACATTGGCAACTCTCGCCGGGATAGCGGTCCTCGATAGGTCGACGAGAGCTAAGGGTATTATTACTCCTTTCGGGCTGTTATAGTTCTTGGGACATTCTATGATGCCGTAGCAGAAATTTCTATTTTTGGTTATTTTTCGCTAAGAAGTAAAAATTCTGCTCTTGCGGGTATTGTGATATCTCTTGAGCAATGATTTTGAGGATAGATTTCACACCTTCGTCATTAATTCCGAATAGGTCTATGTCCTCAGAGGCAGAATGCAGTTCGTTATTTTTAAAGTCTGAGGAAAAATTGCATTTCCTTAGAAAGTCCAGTCCGAGTATGCAAGGATATGTATCTCTGCCACATATGCCGTGTAGTAGTTGGCGGCACTTCTAAACGTGATGCTAACGCTAACTTTCCGGTCAATGTCGATCTTTCATCTGGAGGGTAACGCAGGGCGGCGTCCAGATAGTTTACCTTCCAATTGTTGAGCCAAATAACTTCGGATGATGGTAATATTGGTTCCTGTATGGACCGTCATATTGCAGGGAATTCCATTGATATGACCCATAAGGAGGAGTCTATTACTGCCGCCTTTTTATTCCAGAAAATTGAAGTGCTTTAAAATTGAACTTCTCATTATTTGGAAATCTTCGCCCCACGAGATGGTCTATTCGAATAGCTTCGCCCCCAAGAGATTAGTTCTCTGTTTCTTACTAGGAGCGGTCTTAACATCCGTGCCTTGTAGTATTCTGCAGTTTCTTTGTATGTGCCCTTCAGCACTGCAATTTCTGCATTTTACGGCCGGTTTCTTGTCACTAATATTCCGTCTCAAGGTATTTAGTTGTCTGATTAAATTGTCTAGACGAGCAGTGACTTGATCCACTAGCTCATGGGCTCAGCAGATCTGATTGGGCGTTGGTCTCTACGAGGTACTTGCTGCGCTGCCTCGAATTTCATGGCGTACACCAGAGCGCTTTTAAGTCCTTGACAGCTGACATTCGCAGTGCTTTCTGTACTTCAGGATCAGGGATGCCGTCGATGAAGTACTGGAAGGAAAGGATTTCTCTTGTTTCTGTCGGGCATTCCGAAAAGACGAGATGAGACAGCCTTCCGATATCCCTGGCTAATTCCTGGACTGTTTCCGTGGTCTGTTGTTGTCAGGATTTTAATTGAAGCCTGTAGTCTTTGAAACATTTCTCCCAAAAGCTCAGCTGAGGGACGAACAGGCATCGGTGTAAAACCATCAGTATTGCTCCCCGTCGTCGCTACTAATTTCTTCAAGCTATCAATTTCTTTGGAGACTGCAGAAATCCTGTCATCAATTTGCTGTTCGATTTGTTGTGTGATGGCAAAATCTCTTCCTTCGATTCGTAGTTCCAAAACAGAAAATCTCTCTTCCATTTATTCTTCTGACAGAAGAAACTTTAATCGGTTTGTTGTTCCACGCCCGAAACTCTCTCTTCTATTTGTTTTTTGACAGAAGAAACTTTTTCTTCAATTTTTAACTTTATTTTCAATCGCGTCTATTCTGCCTTCCATAGCCTCAAATTCGTTTTCTATTATGCGGGTAATTTCTGTTTTTATTTCTTTTTGTCCTGATTCAATCTTTTCTTGAGCAGTTTCCATCTCCTTGAACGGCTTCCATCTGTTCTTGAACTGATACTTGACCAGATTTCATCTTTTCTTGAAACGCAGCAAAGGCCGCCACCAACTGCCTTAATTGTTCTTTCATCGCTCTTGTTACTAGCATTCGACCCTACTCCTGACACCAAAATCTATTGCGTGTGTACGAATTCGAAATAGATTGAATGCCCAATCCGATAAAATGTTAATACAATTTATTCTTATCAAAAGAAATATAACAGAACGCTGGAATTTTCTTCAGACATATTCGTATAAGTGTTCACATTATCAGGCAGTAAGTAACAATCAGTAGAACGCAAACACGTTCAACAGAACGCAGCACAAACAGTAGCTAAACTATTAAAAACGTTTAAATGCAACGCAGTTCAAAGAGAAAGCTAATTCAGATATCTCAGTTTTCGCGAAAATAAACAAATCGCATCAACAGTAACTAAGCAACCGAGCTGAGATGTCTCTCTCCGGCTTTTTAAAGCTTCCAATCGGTCGCGAGAGAGAGCTAGTAATTTCTTTGTTTCTCGAGATTTCTGGAAAGCAAAAGTGTAGAATTACGGTTACAACTAACACAGTATTCAATTACATTTATTCAAATTAAATATTTACCAATATAAACTTTTATTCAATGTTAAATGCACATGCTCTTATATTATTAATTTTTCGGCGCAGGTTTCTCTTAAAATGTATAACGCGCTGCATTGCACGGGGAAATAAAATGATTTTAATTATAATTCTGCTAAAATTAGCTATCTAAATACAAAATTCGTAACAATATATTTCGGAATGTAAGCTGATCTGCTATTTACAAGTTAGAAAGTAAGATTTCATTGTAAAAATTCAACCAAAACTGTGCATTGTATTTTAAATACTTTTTAGTATATTAGTGTGAAGAGAGGAATAAAATATATATTAAAAAGATTAAATATTAACGAGAATTAAATATTAGAATATATAATAGAAGAATAGAATTTATATGTAATGTTATTTTCATTTAAGAAAAAAATAATGCCTGTGCAAATATTTAAATTAAAATTGCCCTATAAGCCAAACTACTTGTTAAAAGTTTGAATAATTATTCTTCTAACTTAGCTAGATCTATAACACGAAATGGATGTGAGTGCCAATTAATCACCAGTTCTAAAAATTGTAATCATCTACTCTAATAGGCCAGAAACGATTCTTCCAGCGTTCAAAAAACGTGTTTCATCTAGCAATTCTATGAACGGAAATAAATATAGTCATATTCATACTTGTGAAATAAAGGAAGATGCCATTTACACAGATTACACTGTATTCACTGTAGTAAGCAGAAATAGAAGGCTACTGAAAAATTTCGAAGCGAATGCTGATACTGAGAAATTTGAGTAAATGTTAAAAGAATTAAATCAAATAAGAACTAATGAAAATAAATAAGAACTTTTCAACTAATTTACAGTTAGTAATATCTTTCAGTTATTCATCATTATAATAGAATTATTTGTACGTAAATATTTTTAAACTCATACATATGCCGACCTACTAAGTTCAGCTGCAAGACATTTTCAAAAAATCTACATGGACGTATACGGTAATTTTTATATACGTCTTTTGTGTGCAGATATCTCAGATTCTTATAAATTGCGTCATACTATCATTAATAATATGATTAGATGCTAATTCGATAATTAACTGACCAGAATGATTAACATGGTTAAACGTATAAAATATATATGAAGTTTAATTTTTCATTGCAAGAAAAGGATCATGTATGCGTGTAATGTTAATTAGTTAATAGAATTATTGAAAGCTTTACTTCAGAATTTTTACCCATTTCGCATGTACGCCTATTATTTATCTAATTATCAGAAATGTCAGAATTTGTTGCTTTTTTTTAATTCGTAAGCTCCATTTTTTTACCCAAAGTACTGTTTATTCAAAACAGATGATGTGTCTTAGGGAGCCAATTTAAAATTTCCAGTTGGGTGAACTACAAGGTTGAGCTTCCAACCAATTCCTTATATTAATTATGAAATGAATTATCAGTAATATGAAGGTATGTCAGCGCTTTCTAAAGAAATGTATCGAAACCACAAACAGAAATTAGAAAAAATTTTCCCAGTTTAACCATTCTCTTACTTCAATTTTCTTTAAAATATCTTCTCCACTTGAAATTTCAATTAAACTTTTTTTTACTAGCAAATTTGTTTCTGATCTACTTTATTTTTTAATCATTGTAATCGTTTTCATTGTATATTTGGAACATTTTAATACAGTACCTATCAAGTAATACTACAATATTCTGTGTCCATTGCATTATATATAAGACACTTAAAGCGGAGGGTTTGAGGGGGGAAGTACTCATTGAGAAAACTGAAAATTAGTTCATAAATCTGTAATATATCTGTAGCATGTTTTTATCGTTAACATATTCCTCCTGATTTAAAGCAAGATGATTTCCATTTTAGATTATATTATTTTCTTATGACATTGCGCCAAACTTTCTGTAACCTTGCATCTTTCTTTGACAATTCTGTTTATTTAAATGACAATTCTGTTTCTAGTTATCTGTTATTCTGTTCAATTCTGTTATTATTGTTTCATTCTATTTATTTATTCTGTTATTTCAAATAAAGGGCTTATTCCCGCTCTCCAGCTTTTACCCAAAATCTATTCAACTTTTGATATGAACGTAGGAAGCTTAAATACGGATATAAGAAATGTTGGGGACAAAAAATTTCATCACTCGCAGCCAGACAGACATTATTGTAAAAATAGTAAAAACGCCTTTTGGAGGCCCTAATTTGTACTTATTCATTGAACACTCACTATGGAATGTTTGAACCGAAAATATTATTTCCCTTACCTATATATATATAGATTGACGGAAGGTGAAAGGAAAAGTTGTCCTAATATTTCTATAATTTATTATTTATTCAGCATATTGTATGTTAAATGACCCAGCAATACCTAGAATTTTGATTTCTTTTCTGATATCTAATTTATATTGTAGGAAAGAATAAAATAAATGAAAATTTTAATTATCAACAAAATATGTAAATTCAAATTCTGTAACTAGTAAAAAATGTCTTCTTCAATTTTAAGGTTATTTATTAAATTACAAAGTCATAATTTTTTATCATAATAAAAGATTTTATTATGATCATGTCTTGTTACTATATACATGGCAGATTAAATTATTTCGCCTTTAAATGTCTCTCTTTAGGCACGTATCTGCAGTGATGTTACAGCTGTATTTCTTGTTGTTTTAATATATTTACATAAAGGGCTTGTAATCAAAAGATAAATTACACCATAATTTGAGGTTACTCGAAAGTTTATAAGAATACTGGCACTTTTATATTCAACTACCTAAGTTTCACTTCCTAATTGGAACTGATTCGCCTCGGAGATTAGCTATTTTTTCTGGCTCCATAACATCTTTCAGCCATTTCGTCATGTCATAAGAAATTATATCACCACCATATTTCATGGGCAAAGCAGAACGAGGAAAATACTTCAGAAGTTTTTCTGGACTAGAGTGAAAATGAATCTAAAAATAAATAATCATTTTTAATTCATTGAAAAAAAGCATTAATTAAATTGAATTTGAAAATTAATTAATTGAAAAAGATTTAAAAAATATGTTATTGGCACCACGCCCAAACCACGAATCTACATTTATCTGCAGTTTTAAAAATTTTCTAATGGCATCCAATTCCTTGATTGGTTTCGAAGTTTTATATGGTGCTAAAAGCGAGAAAGCGATGCACACATAAAAAACTTTATGCGGAAACCATTATTATTTTATTTTGGAAAGGAACTTCTTGTATATTGCCCCCAACAACGATTTTTCAGAATTTGAAATTTCCAGCGCGTGGTGACAATTACATAGTCTTTATTTCTTTTTTCGATGACACAAAATCCACATTTCCTATTTGCTTGTATTAATATTAACATTTTCTTCTAAGAAATTATTTCATTTAAAATACCATTTGTTTAATTTATTAGTCAGTTATTTTCTGTCAGTTAAGAATGATTAAACTTCATTTTTAGTCTCTTATTTAATTCACATGCTTCTAATGCTAATTTTATACTGATATATCCAGTTCGTCGTAGCAGAAAGAGTTCATGATATTTCATTACTTTCTGTAATGCAACAACATTTTGTTAAATAGAAAAAAATTATTTCGTTTGTTTAAATACCTTTAAACTTTAAACTTTGCTGCAAGGTGCCGGACAAAATTAACAAAAAAAAAAAAAAAAAAATCAAAAATCAAATAATTCAAAACATTCAAAATCTATTTCATAATAATCAAATATCATATCGACATTCTTATAAACATTCGTATAGTAAATCTATCAATCAATCGTATATCATATCTATCAATCAATCGTATAGTGGTATAGTACAATTTAACTTTTAAGGTTTGCGTTGTGAGTAACCTATGTAAAAGGAAATATCAATAACTCCAAATTCAATTAAACTCCATGTTTTTTAAAAGTCTCCCGGCTCAAACAAATGGAGGGACATGACAGACCACAGTAAATTATACGCTACAATTAAACTAATGAAATGCAATTAAATATATATTAAACACACATTTATTAAATTCTTGACTATTTTATATAATTAAACAATGGATAAATGCTCAGCAATCCTACCACATATTTTTCTAAGCAAAATAACACATAATACCACACAACCAAATTACAGCTTATATTAATTAAGATTTAACATTATCAAAATCCTACTGTATCATAAGTGTAACACTAGTATTTTCTCCCATTTCAATCTTCTAACTTTAAGTATTTATCATGGTAATTCACTTTAAGAACACTGATAATTTTCACATCGATTAATTAAATTAAGTAATTGCTCAAATTTCAAATTTCAACAAACATTAAAATGAAGACTCTTACTTGAGTATTAAGATAATTATTAAAGTAAAAACAAATAAAAAAAAAAACAAATCACTCACGGGGTGAAGTCCATACCGCAACACTTTCACTTTACTCGGGAATACCTTCGTATACTGATTTAATAAGGTGATTTGACAGCTCCACAGATCGTCCAGCGTCCAAAGTTTACTCGAGCACCACATTATTCCTGCTGTCCTTTATTCACAAAATCATCGTTAATGGAGGCAGACATTTCTTGCGAAATTTTAAAGATGACTTGGTTGCAACACCATTGAAGCTGTCCTTACAATGAATAAATTCCAGAGCATGGAATGATGAAAAACAAATCGACGCAGCTGGCACAGCAGAATAAACAGCAATGCACACCTTAGAAGGGTCCTACACGAGTCTCTTCTCTTTCATTCTGGAAGCCCCGAAACTCACCATAAGCGTAGAGCACCTTTGGAACAAAATCTAATTAGGAAGTCAAAGCCGGTAAAAACAGGAATACCGCATCAGGATGTCAGGATCACCAAGAGAATCTTCCGAACAATTCTTGGGATAAGAGAAATCGAAATTCTTCTGCTGAGCTCTATGCCTTATGCCAACGCAAATTCTCGCCAGCTAAAAGCCGAGAGAAAAATCATACCCTCTGCCGGCTGTTCACGCGGCTCGCGAGAAGCAAGACCCGAAGGGTCAAGCCCACACCTTTTCTCCTCTTACTCTTCTTGAAAATCAGAATCAGAATGAACTCTAGCCTGGTGCAAGCACCCAGGAAAACTCGGTTTCTCCGCCTCTGTGAGTTCATAGGCTTTCAAAAAAATCATCAAATTAAATCTTACCAATCCCGGAATTTTAAATTATCTAAATTGAGAAAATGACACACCCATGACGAATCAAACACCAGAAAATCTGACAATGCAATCCGGAAAACATCTGCACTCACATAACGTGAGAAAAAAAATAGACCCCCCAACTAACAAGTGAAACTAAGCTTTTACGAAAATCCAATTACCAGCCTCCCCCACTGTCTTGAAGTAATAAAACTGCAAACTTACAAAGCGACAGGAAAGCGCTTTCCGTTTCACACGCATTAGCTAAAAGGCGACAATACATACCCTACTACCTTCATTGTTGGAAAGGTCATAAACCAGATGTGTGTCCTCGCAACCGTCTCTCGCCTTTGTACAATTCCCACTCAAGAATAATGAGTTAAATAAAGCCTTAAGAGCTTAAGAATACTTTTTTCCAGATTAAAATACACATGAATACAAATAAAAATATTAGAATAATAATAATTTAAAACACATATTAATAATTTAAATTTGCTACATAACAATTTCGAAAATTTTGCGACTATGTATTATAGAGACTTGGCTAATTACAGCCTTTTTTTAGTTAAAAGTTTTTCAAATTCCTGATTTATTTCATAAAGAGAATTAATTTTTTTTTGTGCTTTTAGTTCTTGTCATAGCATTTCTTAAAAAATGCAGCAGCAACAGTATATTTTTGATATCGTTTACAATTACACATTGATTAATACTATTTGTATATATGTTTGAACTGTTTTCGAAAACATAGCTTATAGATTTTAATCGTTTGTTTTATTAAAAAAATTGAAAAGTAGTGCATTGAAGTCTGTAATTAAGATCTTCAAAAATGTAGTTCTAACAGAACAGAACTATAAATTGTATGAAAAATGTCCATTTGAAATGGGAGCAAAGGGGCTTTTTTTAATTTAATGTATGTGCTTTGAAAACATTTATATAAGCACAAATCTTAAACTAACATGAAAGCATAGAACTGGGGTTTAATTGAGAATAAACTTTTTTTTTTTGTTTAATATACTTTTACATGAAATCTTTTCAAATATTTTGGACGTGGAGCAGAGTAAAATGCAATTACAAAAAGGAAATAGTTACAGTACGTAATATCATTTCATAACATTTAGTGTACATAAATGTAACAGTTACAGTACGTAATATAGTACTTCATAACATTTAAAATATATTGATTGAAATGATTTGTTACTTAAATTTAATAAATAAATATTGCCTACCCTTTTCTTTAGCTTCTCTGACAAAAACTGCTTTATGATAAACCATCCAATCTTTGATGTCACAGAGGAGTTTATGATATGAATGCTTATATATCTTGCAGGAGCACACTCCTATTGAAAAACAAAAATCTTCCTTGGAGAAAAACGACATTCAAGTGATTAAGCATGCTATATTATTCTTAAAGTTTAAAATTAATTCTGCTTTTGATACAAAAGGCTTAATCCTATTGAAATATTTTGATATCTCAGACTTTAATTTTTCAAATTAAAATTGAAATAAAAGCTTGAAATTTTAAGTCAAATAATGCACACACATAGTACTGTTCATAGTTACATTATACATAAGCATGAAAACGCTTTTTATAACACGATCGTTCTCTAGGACTCGAAGCCAGGACAAATTACTAGCAGTAAGTAGTTTTAACTATTCAGTCACTGATAGCACAAAAAGTTTGAGAGATTGTTCATAGTTTTCAATTTAGGAAATGAGTGAAGTAAGACAGACTTTTACAGTATCCTAAATTTAATAATTTTAATTAATTTAAGACGGCGGTCATAACTGAGTTCATTTAATTTTATTTGTTATGAAAAATCTTGTAATTAATTCTTGATTTTAAGTAATTTCAATCAATTGCTTTTTATTTAGCATTTTCTGTAAATATTGGAATTAAACTACGCTGTTAATTCAACTATTTCGCTCCATTGCCTTCTTAAACTTTTGAGTGTTTGTTGTAAAGTTTATTTCGTATAGATGGCGCCACCTTCTGATAACATTTTTATCATTTTTCGTTTGAAATATATTATGCCACTGAAATAAAATTTTAGAAGCACTACCTCTTCTATTTTATTCCTAAAAACTTATATTTTTTCATTTGCATTTAAATCAACACTTTGAACGGCATTTATTATTTATTTATTCTCTTTTATATAGTTTCTGCTGTCATTATTGCTGCATATCGTCTTATAGTGCCACTAGATGGCAGCATGTATAGGCTCAATGTTCTTAGGCGGTTCTCGTTCGAATTGCTAAATATTTTAGTGATAACGCAATATAATAAACCCTTTGTAATGAATGCTATCGCTATCACAAATGTTGTCTTCTAACGAAATCAAAGTTTTGCAGGTAAAATGAAATTATAATAAGCATGTTTCTGTGCTATTCAAATCAAAAGTTATTATAATTTCAGAAATACTTTATGAAAAGCAATTTATATTTTTTAACGTAGGACTACATTCCTCAATGACGGTATCAGGAACAAAAAAAATTTTTAGAAGCGAAACATGTTTTAGTAGAACACGTGTCTTCCCAAAACCCGAAAAGTTAAAGTTTTCGTTTAGGGCTCATTTCATAATTAAAAGAAACCATTACAAAACACAAAAAAGAAAAACTGAAAATTGGAATTGTGGTTCAGCCACAAAAAGAATCTCATATTTTGATAAAAATACACTGATGATATCCCAAGTGCGTGCGCACTAGCCACATTATAGCACCGTTTAGTTCCAAGGAGGCTAAACTCCTTGTTTAGTTTATGTTGGAGTCGACGGCGACTGCTTGTGGGAGCGACGTACTGATTTTGTTTGTATAAAAATAAATATAAAATGTCGAAAAATAGAGATGCTCTAAAAATAGAGCACAAGAAACATTTAAGAAAGATTTATTGAAAGAAGATAATGAGGAACATTTAGCTGTAAAAGGGAAAGAAGGCAACAAGCTATAGTATGAAAATATTAATAATAAAATAAAATAAGCTGAAGGTACTTCAACTTCTTCTACTGCTGCCAATAATAAACTGGCAAATTTCGGTGTACCTTTCCTAGATTATAGTGGAGAGATTCTTCAACAGGTTTGTAGAATAAAAAACATTAATCAGTTGTGTACACAATATTTTATCAAAAACTTCAAAGATAATAAATTTGGACATGTTTGTGACAGATTGTGGTTTATGAAAAGCATAATGCCGCCTAGTACAAATGAAAAATTCTTAGCTTTGTTGCGAGCGTCGAGAAGAATATACCAATGAATATTATAGACGGTTTAAAATACCAATGTAAAAAGATATGAGAATGAAACCACATTTTATTCTTACTATGTTACCAACCAAATATCCAAGTACTTTAGGTAATTCATATATAGATCTTAGTTTTACAAGAAACTTCAGTGCCAAACTATTGAAAATTTTCGTGAAAATTTTCTGCATCAGCTTTTATTGATGAAACAATAGGAGTGAGTAGATCCATGAAAATAGGTAAATGGAATGCTCCTGCTCGCTCCTTGCTCGTGGGAAAAGACGATGAAAATTGACGATGGTGACGATCTAAAAGCTGTAGTAGATGACACAGACAGCATTACCAGCAATACTGGATTAGCTGAAGCCTAGGGTATACTGTAAAACAATCATAGAGAACGAGATTCAAGTTACAGGGAAACTGAAATAAAGAAATCGTATTAGATATTGCAATGTTAATTTAACTATTCATTCTAATTGCAATGTAGAATACTTTAAATATCGTTTCATAGTTATCAGTTTCTTATCCAGAACTGCTTTTAATTAGCTATGTTTTTAATGTAACAGCATCTTTTGTAAGTTAAATTATTCGCGTATTTTGTCCCTCTGAGTAAAATTAATAAGAAAATTAAAGGGAGAAAAATACGCGACTAAATACTGTATACGAGTTAATCCTCAGGTTCTGCTGAAACATCTGTTTTTGACTGATGGCTGACAAACTTTACACAAATAAAGTCGTTGTTCACAAATTTGTCTTGAACTCGTTTTAAAGAACAATTTACTCTCGTTTTCAGTTGGACGAAAATGTCCCATCCCACAATTCAATTATCGTCAACCAATTTGCAGCAAAGAAACTGTCACAATTCTGACCTCCCCATTTTATCAGATTTAGCACCTCCATATTATTTTTCCTCTCTTAAAATAAAGCCCGACATAAAAGTATTGGGTCAGTCCATAAATTCGTGCGAATTTTTTGATAAATTTTTAAATAATATAAAAAACACAATTTAACATTTTAATAAATTATATATTTTCCTCCATTATCTACAATGTCTCGCCATCTTACAGGCAGCTTAGAATTTAATGTTTTTCCCAGTGAAAAATTTATGAGGCACGAAATAAATGAAAATCACTTGGGGCAATATCTGGAGAGTAAGCAGGACGGTGGCAAAAGCTCCCAATTAAATTCACTAATTTTTGCAGCGATTTTCGAGCCGTATGCGGTCTAGCGTTATCAAGATGAAACAACACTTCTTGATATTCACCGATCGTGGGCGTTTTGTTGAATCTATTCTGAGTTTAGACGGCAAAGTTGCTTCACTATAAACTTCTGAATTAATCGTTTTGATTTGGTTCTAACACTTCAAAACGTACCTGAACGGGGTTCATCATCCAATGCTGCTTTTTACCAACTTAAAATTTTTTTAAACCATTTCTGGGTAGTCCTTACACTAATAATGTGTTCACCATGTACACTATTAATTTTTATCGCTGCAAACCTGGCAGATTCACAACACGAAAATAAAAAATGTCGCACAGCAGTTTGTACTAATTATCTATATTAATCTTCTATGGGTAGTAAAATGCGTTCAATATTTACGAAAGTTGGTGTTGAACTGAATAATATGTTAGTCAAACGATGAAAAGTTTCAACAGGTTCAAAATTGTATTGTTTTAGTAAATGCGTCATTGGGAATTCCACGTAGACTCCGCACGAACTTATTTATTGACAAGTTGTTTTAACGGCACTGACGAGATTCAAAAAAGTAAAGCCAGACACTTAAATAATATTCCAAAAGCTGAGAAGAGAACAAGAAGAAGAAATCACGAGAATCAAGGGGGAGATCAAGCAACTATATTAACGCAACAAACATTACATAGATTTGCAAGAATTACATCCTGAAGGCTATGTGTACTGTTTTCTTCGAGTTTCGTTTTGTATGAATTTATTCTAAAGCTTTGAAAACACACTATTTATTTTAGCGTTAAAAATTGTTCTAAATCTCTCCTGTATTTCCCATGTTCAATATTCTGATGGCAAACAACTCAAGCTGGTGATAATAGTAAGGTTTTAGAAATATCATGAACAGCTTACCTTTCCGCCATAATATAACAAATAAAGGTTTTCGGGTGTACAGTATTTGAGATGCTTGATAGGATTACTCTTAACGTCTGCAATTATCTTAATTCCATTTATCTGCGTCATAGGACTGCGTAAAGATTGCCCAATATAAACAAGTAGTAGACGTTTCAAGGCTTCAACAGAAAGCTCATCAGGATTCCATTTATCTGAAAGAGGAAGTACTTAGCAATCTTCGTTACCAACGCTTTCAAGAAAAGGAGCTAATTATCCTCCACAGGCTCTACAGTTATTAAGCCAAATAGCTAATTAATCACACACATACACACACACACACACACACACCAAAAAAAAAAAAAAAAAAAGACTGCAAATGAATGTCAAAAAACAGCTACATTCTGCTTAATAAGAGTGAATGTAAATTGTTCACTGACCTTTTACACTACCGCTTAATCCTTTTTATTTCCTTTAAAGTAATGTGAATGGATTTACTATATTTGAATGTGATTATGTTTGGTTTTGCATGTTTAGTGCAGTTACAATGAACCTTTCGTACTATTACATCTGAAAGTGACCAGTATTAAATAACGGGAATCACAGTCATCTTTACGTAAGAACAAAATTATCTGAAACTGTGAATGGACACCTAAAAGAATTCAACATACTTATATAAATAATTTCTAACGTTTAAAAATAATGCATCTCTTTCTGGGAATGTTCTTTTCATAATGAAAGTGTTAGGCAAAAAAATCATTAAATTTATAAAATAATTGATTGAATTACCAACATTCATAGATAACTATATTCAGAATATACATATTTAAAACAATAACACATTTGGGAGGAAGAAATAATACTATCTGCATGGTTCATTGTAATTTTCGCTTTTGTTTCCTGAAAAGCCATTTATTAGAACGTGTTGTCTTTTTAGAAAACACGAGATAATAGGAATAAGAAGCCAATCATTTAGATGGAAGCATCAGTTATAGAATTATCTAACTGAAAGTAAATCTATAATTTTACATTTATACACTCAGTTATCTTGTTTCAAAATCTATTAATCTCCATATTGCGAAAAGTTAAAGTAATCTTTAAGTATGTCATCGTATAATTAAGATGGCCATCCAATAAAATACCCTGCAAAGTTTCTAATTCTTTATACAAGACATTCACTTGTATTTGTTCTTCACGCATTTACATTTATATTTCCAACATTTTACTTCTTTTGACTTTTCAAAAGTTTTTGAAAGCTGATCTTATTAATGTACAAATATTGTTTACAATATATAACAACTGGAATATAGATAAATTCTAATTAATTTAGAAGTTAGAGTTATGATTATAAAATTAAAATTCTTGAAGCTTTTATTCGCTAAAAACTCTATCTACGTCATTAAGCATACGACATTTTATCAAGAACTTCATGTTATTCCTATCAAACCTGAAGCATATGATAACTGAGAGTATAAATCCTATAAATCTTCAAACAGTGTGCATAATCAAGTAATGTACTTTGACTTCATCTATCCTATTAATAATACACACAAGTGCAATATAACTTAATTTATCAAAGAATATTTTATTAAATCACAATCTTAGTTTTCATTATAATTATCGTCTCAAGAAGTTTTTTCTCTTGTAATCAATAAAAATATTCATGCACTAATTTCTAAATAAATGCAATGATTATTGTTAGACAATTACTATTATTAGACAAATATTTTACATACTGCTAAAATGTTTGTCATAATATTTAATTCTGTTGATAGCAATTTAATAATACTTCAGTCTAATAATACTTAAGTACATTTATAGTAATAATGAATCATTGATAGCAATTTATGCTTCAATATCTTTAATTTAAATTTTACATTTATATTAGTAGTTCTGATTTATAGTATTCGTTAGAAAACTGTAAGATTTTGTTTTAATTAATCCAAATATCTTATTACTTTCCCTTTTCTGCGATTTTTACTTTTATCAACTTCCCCCAGAAGGCAAATTAGTTAAATTATAAACAAGCCTTAAACGTTTTTGCGTGTGTTTGGTAGTGTAGGCTAGCATTGACTCTTCTTTTGTTTTTCTGCTGTTGCCAATTTAGCATGCTAGAAAATTTAGTTTTGGTTTTCTGCTTGCAGCTATTTCTTTACGAGCAATTAGTCGAAGGAACGGAGCTTTAGGCCAGCCATCATTAATGTCGTGTTCACTGTTTGATTTAATTTGAAGTTAAACTGTTTGTCTACCAAAATCTAACACAGCGCTTTTTAGAGGTGTTTGCATTATTAGATCGGCGTGTTAATAATAAACAACTTTGTTTTGGGTTTTCAATTGGTTGTGATCAGCATAAGAAGTCGGACAGGAAGGAAAGTCGTCCGGCGATCTTATGTTTGTATTGCTAATTTTCTAATTTAAATTTAATAGCGTTAATTGTATAAAATTAATAAAATAGTTAGTTTTTTTCACTTTGTAATTTGTCAGAGGCAATAATGTTAATTTAAATTTTAAAGGAAGAACAATGATTTAATTTTGTGATGATCATTACAATAACTCATTTTGATTTTTACCTCTAAATTCATCGAATGAGAACTGATCTCGGATGCTATTATTTTTCTCTGAAAATAATACCTTTTCATTTTCACTTAGAGGTGTTGAATAAAATTTTAATAATTCTTCAATTGTACTTCAATTTTATAATATATAGTACATTTATTTAGATTTTACTTAAAACGATATGTAACTATAACTATTTTGCATCCAATTTTTAAATTAGAATTATCTAACTGGAATTGCTTTTTCATAGAAATATGTGTAGAAAATATGAAAAACATGGCTAGCAATAAAAGTATTTATCATCAATTTGAATTTAAAATACATTTATTGAAACCTTAAATTATTGTTCAGTGATTATTAAATTAACAAATTTCACTTAAAAATTATAGAATTGGTTGGACGTTTATTTTTTTGCTTTTTTGCAAACATTAATTATCGTTAGAAATAGAAAAAAGCATAGGCGTTTTCTCCTTTCAAGGTTGCTGAAAATTAATTGCATGAGATAAAAATTCATTGATTGTTAGTTCAAGTTCAAATGTTGGTTTCATTTACATATTTTTCTGATATCAAGTTTGTCTAATCATTCCATTTAATATTTTTAGCTTTAAAATTTCCATATAAAATATTTATCGTTTCTTAAAACTCTTTTAAGAAGTAAAAAAACAGTTACTTAAAGCTTTGTTGGTAAATTTCATTCAGGTTCTCTATGTCTTTAAAGGTTTTATCTGTAGAAAATATTACCTAATTGTACAAGTAAAATTGCACATCCGTCTGGACACCTCCATGGAAGAAATGAAATAATTTCGCTGGTTATTCCCTTGACACACTCTTCAAAGTTTATTTTCTTGAAAGAATCTGGATTCTGCTTTCGAAAATTATCAAAAATTTTTAAATGAGAGTAAGTTCGAGACAAATTAAATTTGTTAAACCTCAGGAACACAAGTAAATACATATCTTCCAATTCTATGGCAGCTAAGTCTTCATCATCTGTTTAAAGAAAAGGAAGAGACGTAAATAACAGATACAAGAAGTCAATAACAGATACAAGAAACATCAATTTTAGAATTATAAATTGCATACAAAAATTTATACATCATTACAAAATAAGCATTATTTGTTACAATCTTTCTAAATATAAGTGGTATATATCATATCCGTGTAAATATGAAACAAATGCAAGAACAAGCAAAGAAATTTCAGGTAGTCAGCTATTAAGTGGTATAATAAAAAGTTTGAGCACGATTTTTATGGTCTGATCCAATCGATCAATAACCAAAATTGTAATTGCGTACTTTCGTGGGCACTTTTCAATTATATAATTAGTTACATGGATCTAGGAATGTAACATTGTTTAAGAAAAAATTGAATTTCACTGAAAAACTAGACGTAGATAATAGAGATTTTACAGTGTTTTATTTTAAAAAATGTTTTTGAATCCTAATGCTAGTTAGAGGCTGTATAAGTATAAATTCAATTAACAAAATATTTTTAAACACTTATTATCCAGTTCCCCAGGTGATCCGCCACAGAATTGAGGTGAAAGTAGAAGTCCAACATCCTTGAGGATCTGACAACCATTCTACTATGAAATACATAGAGAAGACGACAACAACAAACACTTATGATATATTCTTGTGTTCATGAAACTTCATGCATCGCAACATCCATAGAGAAGGAAGGAAATAAAAGGTCCGAAATGGTTTTTGTATTCGCTCCCTTGAAGCAGTGACAACCCCCTTCCGTGTTTATCAAAACATTCAATGACTTAGCACTAAGATAAGACTTGACTAGGTGGAACTTGATCTAGGTTTTGACATGTTTAGAGGTAAACATTTTATATTACATTATAACATTCATAAATGTAAGTATGTGTGCATATTTTCTTTTTCTACAGTATTTAATTCTTCTACAGTATTTGATTGATTTGAAGTATGTGAAAGAATACATTTTTAAACAACATTTCACTCTGAACGGAATTAAAAACTATACTTTTGTCAACCTCAGAACAGTTTTAACAAATTACGTTAGAAAGAAATTTTAATGCAATTCGATTTTACTTGTTGAACGATTACAAAATTTAAACGTCAAAGTTTTATTATTAATGTAGTAAAATTACTCTTATTTTTTTCTATATGAAGAACCTCTTTTTGAAATACTTTCTCAAATATGAGATAATATCAGCTTCTGAGCTATTTTTTAAATCAAAAAGCACAGTCACTCTACAATTAATGCTATGTTTGGCTTATTTCAAATTACAGCACTTTTTATTTTATTTTTTATACATAAATATGTTAAATATTATTGATGATTACTGATTTTCATGTACTTAATTTTCTATAAGGATTTTGTGAAGGGATAAAAACGTTTTTTTTAATATTATTTAAAACTAGTAAATGAATTATTATAAAATATAAAGAAATTATTCTTTTAATACTTATAAAAAAATTCTTCTATCCCTTGGATTCGCCATTGCACATTATAAAAAAATTCTACCGTACTACTTCTTTTCGTAAGCGTCTCGCTTTACAACACCTATTAATAGATTGTTTTCCAGTACGTACAATTCTTGCTTAAATAATTTTACAAGTGTATTTGTCAAGCGAATTTCAGTTTCTGTTTACAATTAAATGTTAAGGTCATTTACATACTTAGATAATATTTGTAATCAATTTATGTTTAGATATATTAATTTTATTCATAGTAATATTCGCAGGAGTTGAATTAAAAACCTTCTTCGTTTCCAGATACATTTATGAATAATTTTACTTATTTAATCAGCGGCAAATGCATTTTTTAAAGGCATAAATGCTCGTATTTATTTAATATTTTTCATTTTAGGCACAGAGAAATAATTCTTTTAATACTTGTCAAAAAATGTTATGATCTTTGAATTCAGCAATACACATTCTAAAAATTCTACTTTATTTCCTCTTTTAAGTACGTATCTCATACACAGTAACTCCTACTAATGTTACTATGAAAACAAAATTTAGTTATTAAATATATCTAAACATATAATGATTATAAATATTATGTAAATATTTGACAAGTACACTTATAAAATTTTTTAAGCAAGAATTGCTGGTACTGAAAAACAGTCTATTAAAAGGTGTTGTAAAACGAGATGCGTACTAAAAGAAGTAGTAAAGTAGGATTTTTAGAATGTGCACTGGTGAATCCAAGGGGCAGAAGAAATTTTCGATAAGTATTAAAAGAATAATTTCTTTATGTTTCATAATAATTCATTTACAAGTTTTAAATAATATTAACAAAACGTTTTTAAGACGTTTCTAGTTTTAAGACAGTCTCCAAACGTTTTAAACGTTTTCCAGTTGAATAATTCTTTCTTAAACAGTTTCGTAAACATATTTGTGAATTCTAGGTACATTTATAAATATTTTAATTTAATATTTGCGCATTTAATTAGAGACAAATGTACGTTTTTAAAGGATATTCATAAATACTCATATATATTTAATATTTTTCATTTTCAACTGTTAATATACTTCAAATATTTCAAATAAAACTGTTTATGAAAAGCCGAGACATAGTCAAGAACAAAGCTCAGTTATAATATCAAAGCAAGATGTTGAAAAGATGTTATTCACATGGTTTGAAACAAACCATACAACTAAGTGGGCACAAGGAATAAAATTCATTTAGTTTATGAAAAATAGAGCACATGCCTCTCGATCGGATAGAGATCAGAATCCATATGAACCCTATATTTAGTTGTAAGGCATATGAAGCTATAGTTAGTTGTAAGATCTTTGCTGTTTTAAGAAATCAGTCTAATGATGATTTTCAAATTCAGGTATTAATCTCAATTAGGCATGAGTATACAGGTGCAATGAATGATGACAATATACAAATGTAACTAGGTCATTCGAGTGAAGACTTAGAGGGAATTATTGTTGCAGGTCCAACAAAGAAAAAAAAAAGAAATAAGAATGTAGACAAATAGAAGAGGAATAGCATATTATGAAATAAAAACAAACCGGCATTAGAAGGGGGAAAGTAAAACTTTTCATTGTTTTCGAAATGGTATTGCAAAGAAAACAAGGAAGAATATTCTTTTGCACCCGATGAAGTCTCAGGAAAGTGTTCAAGAAGCTGTACGTTTTGTTAAATATTAACTAAATAAAAAAGCTGAAAAAATATTACAACTTTCAAAATAAAATTTTTTTATATCAAATGTAGAGCAAACCGTTCGGATAAGATTACGAGAAATACAAATGGGTAAGCTGTAATATTATAGATGTCGTATTTTCTGAGGAAAATGAAAACTTGTATAAACTAGGTACAAAAATGGCTTTTTAGAATAGCTCTAAATACAAGAAACAGTTTTACTGTAAGGAAAATTTTATTTCAATTAGTGAAGTTGAAAGTATCAAACTAAGTCTTAACGGACTCTAAGAATTTGTAAGAATTCAAATTTAAAAAATGGTCAAAGATTTAATACTTCAACGCTGCAAGCAGTTATAACTCTAATCGTTGTAAATGTAAAATTAAATTAAAAAATCCTCTATAACTCCAAATGCTATAGGCGCTTTTTCTGCCAAAATATAAACAATTTAGCAAATTAATAATAATATTGTATTTGTAATGTAATTTGCTTGAAGTTTGTTATCTATTAGAAATGTAATTATGCTGTTGTAATATTTCACTTGTAATGTAATGTACTTGTACTGTTGTAATTAATCGCAGAATCTGGGTTTTCAGTTTTTTGTGCCTAATTATAACATTGACCAAATTTTGTTGGTAATTATTATTATTTAACGCTAAATGTGATTTATCACATTTATCAAAAGGCGGGGTTGTTTTAAATACTAATCGGACTTTTTACTTCAATCGTATGTTTATGATAAAGTATAATCATTTTTCGAATTTGAAATTATTTTGATTTCTAGCTTTTCATTTTTGACAGATATAAGGTTTCAAGATTAAAGCTTGCAGTTAAAAGGTCATTTAGATAAATTATATGGTAACCATACAAAGTTCTTTTCAAAGTTTTAGCTTGTTTACACAGAGTTAATTAAGCTGGCATTGCAGTGAACTATCTGAATTAATTTACGGGTAATGAATTCCGAAGAAAATTAGTCTTTCTGAGGAAAAACCATTTTTTTCGTTCTTTTATTTTACCGTTGCTTCACTTTTTTCTATTGCACAGACTATTCTAAGAAACTAACAGAGTTAAGTTACAGTGATAGCATAATAGACAAATAATTAATAATAAGCGCAATAAAACTGCAAAAAAGAATAGAAATACAAAATTAAATAATATTAAAAAAATGTAAAAATTTTAAATGGCAATGAATGCTCTAAAAGTGAAAATTAATCAATAATAGTTCAGATAAGCACAGCTATGTCTTAGCGTTATTTTTCAGTTATATGAACTCGTGTCTAGCTATATTAGTATACTGAAATATAAAACAGTTTAATGTTTCAGCAGAATTATTTAATAGATGAAACTACAATAGTAACAAAAGTGTGAAGATGACATTTATTATCCAAAGTTTATAAAATTTAATATGAAATCGCAAATAACCTTTGATCATTTCTCTTAATTGCTTCATACTTTGTTCCACACGGTCAGGAGTTTCATTCAGCTTTATCTCAGCTTTTTTCTTGAAGAACTCTGGGACATAATCAATATGGAATGGTAAGATATTAACGCCAGTATCTTCTAGAGTAGATTTCAGAGCACGCATATTCTCAGGCAAAAACTTATAAATCTGAAATTCAAGAAAGGTATGAAATGCTTCGCTTCTGGGGAAAAAGCCATTAATTTATATTTCAATAAAAACATTTTTCCTTGAATAACTGTTTCATTCGCGTGTGCTTTTTTAAGAAAATCCAATTACACTTTCTAAAAATGTTTTTAGATCTTCATTTATAGCATAAATATCTTTCAAAAGTACGTCATGAAATCTTAAATAAGTATACAAGAAATTGCATTGAGTGCATCGTTCCGAAAAACTCTGATTATTTTATCCTGTCTGGGTTATCGCCCGTTTGGACTGAAAAAATTAAGGAGCTATTGCAAATTAAAGTTGGGATTTTAACTTCTTATTTTTTCTTATCTATTTTTATCTTACATGTAAATTTACTTATATTGTTACAGCCACAAATGTAAGGTAAAATTACATGCATACTCTTACAACCACGGATGTAAGATACAATTACATGCATTCTCTTATAACCAAGGATGTAAGATACAATTACTCTAACAACCACATTTTAAACTATAATATAATAAGCAGTTAAAATTTAACGTGTTAAATTATAGGTATTTTAGGAACCTTATAATAACTACTGTCCAAGCGGTAAGAGCGCTCAAGACTTGTAGTTAGACACAAATTTAAAGCTCGGCGAACGAGACAGGTGCGTGGGAGTCTTCGTGTTTTTATCCATGCGTAACGCGAATACGAACTAGTTTCTCTTAAAATATCCTTCCCAAAGTCATCCGGCCTTACGCAGCTCCCAGTTTTTTCCCATAAATCTGTCTGTGATATTTGTTTAGTCTGTGGTATTTGTTTAAATAAATATCATCGCCCTGTATTACATGTAAATAATAATACAAACCTTAGGAAACTTACTTTAAACTAAAAATATGACTAAACGGCCATTTGCAATTTAGAGTGATTTAATCTCTTATGGTAATGTTTTACACAATAGTAATTTAATTTTACCATGAGTCACTATGAGTCAGTTCTTAAGCCGCTATATTTCTGTGTAATCCAATGTAGCCAAAGCGGAAAGCATGAGTCTAAGACACCACTAGCATGAAGAAATGCGTTGGAGGGCTGTCGAAAGGGTGCAAGACATTAGACGTTGCGAGAGAGCTGAATGTGCATCTTAGCGTAATTAGTAAGCTGTGGAATCGTTACCACAAAGACTAAAACACATGTAAAAGGCACGGGTCTGGATGGTGGAGCATTACCAGAACTGCAGCCGAAGCCCACTGTTGCTGTGTGCAAGACGCTGTGTGCAAAATGTCAGAAAGACGCAAAAATGTAAGTAGATCACTAACAGCACGACAGCTGCTTTCGCATCGCTTTACTGCTGCAGAAAGACCCATATCCCGTCAAACTATATCGCGTCATCTGCATGAAGGTGATCCATACGCCCGACGACCTATGCTTTGCATTCGTTTGTTCCCATCGCATGTCAGAGTGCAGTTGAATTGAGTTCATGAACATCGCAGTTTGACACCGGCGTAGTGGGTCTACATAGTCTTTACAGATAAGTCTCAATTTAACATCCCGAACGACTTTTGAAGATATGGCAAGAGGCAAGGACACGCTATCGGATACCAAATTGTCGAAAGGAACCATTACAAAGAAAGAGGCCCACTTGTATGGGCTGGGATAGGCAATGAACTGCCGCACCGACCTCTACGTGATTCTTTGTGGTTTCATCACAGCCGTCGGATATCGTGACGAAATTCTACACCCTGTTGTGCGTCTTCTTATCGCTGCAGTCGGTACTGACACGATACAGATGATAACGCCCTCCCACATAGAGCTCGAGTGGTGAGGGTTATCTGGAGGGTGAATGTTTTCCTGCTAGGTCATAGGACGTGAATATCATACAGCATGTGTGATGAGACGACGGACAGCAGGTCGCAGTGTGTCGTCAGGCACCCTTCACGAGCTCGGACATGCATTACAATAACAATGGGCTCTATTACTACAACAAGTGATCAACTACACTATTGCCAGTTTGCCTCGCCATTGTCAGTCATGCATTTCAGCTAGATGGTATCATACCCGTTATTAACGTTATGTTTCCATTGAACATTCTTCCGATCCATTTGGTCTTTCGCGATGCAATGGTCGTAATACATGTGTTTCTGTATGTCTTTGCTATACTGTTTGCTGTGTAGTCTAAGACAATGGCTTAAATATTTGATTATAATGGTGGCGTACTAATATTTTTCCTCTGTTGGGAAACCTAGAGTGTTTTAACACTCCAGGTAATTTTACGCCTTTGATCCACAACCATTTTACATCATCAGTGTAGTCATCATTAGATTAGTTTTCATGTATAAAGCTGCTCAAAATTTTGATTTTATGATTCGAGATATCAGTGCGAAAATTCGTCATATCTGCACTTGAAGTTAGTTAGTTACTTTTAGATGGGGATGTATACCCGTTATTGTGTTAATCCAGGGGTTCCCAAAAGTTTTCAGTATGTGGCGCACTTGCAGTTTTTTTATTTTCTACGGCGCCCCAGTTGCAATATTTCTACTACAACGGTTAATCAGACACAGAAATAAAAGCGACATTTTAGTGGAAAAGTATAATTTTAATTGATAAGAAAATATACGAATTAAATACAGATAAAAGAAATCTTCAGTGGCAAATTAGGAAGTCAATGTGACAGGTGATAATGTGACAGTTTTTCAAATTGCGGAAGGCTTGATACAGCTATTCTCATTTCTTGCTCCACAATGATCTTCAAACGGTATTTGGTCCTTAATACAGGAACTGCTTCAAATTCATCTTCACGTTGATAGGATGTCGCAAAGGTAATGAGGATACTTAAAGCTTTAGAACTTTAGAAGCTGTATAATACACAGTATGTATTAGCTTTAGAAGCTGAATAACACATAGTATGTATTAGTACAATGTAGGGAAACTATCTTAAGTACCACAATCTTTCAATTTTCTTATCCACAACTTCAACGTTTTCCTAAACTCTGTAATCTTTTTTACAAGTTTGGAGATGCGCATAGATTGCTTTGTACAGGCAGATTCAAGACATTAGTTTCTCAGGTATGCCGCGCTAATATACTAGCTTTAGCAAAATGTCTGGTTAAGCAAAATTACTTAGCCATCGCATGACCTTCCTCTTGCAGAAAAGTGTGAATTTCATGATGCAACTCAAACGCACAAGACAGGACATTGTCAAGTGAAAGCCATCGTGAATAGCAATAAGGATGTATGTTCAACTTACAGGTTTCTATGACACATTCCAACGCCAAATTCAATTAAGGATTGAGCGATTCCGACGCAAATGCCTCTCAGTAGTCTACACAGCACGCGGTAATTTGCTGCAAATTAGTGTCTACAGTCCTTCATAGTGATCGAACACTGATCGAGTGCCATCAGTACATACACCAGCGCCCTATTTCCAAACTAATTCGTTTTCCGTTATAAACTAGTCAAGCATTTTGAACAAGTCAATCCTTTGGGTTTCCGATAATAATCTTAGAACAGAAGATCTTCAACAATAACACTACCATCCAGGAAGTGTATATAATATATAAGATTTGCATTTTTTTTACAGTAAGTAGCCTCATCTAATTGCAGACTGAATTCATTTCATTTAATTTTCGATATCAACTGAACATTGAGTTCCTGAGCTATATATTAAATGCAAAGACTAGTGTTGTTGGATAGAGGTATGTTAGAAATGAATTTTCCCGCAACTTTTCCCACTAATATTAACCACGTCGAGAGGTAGCCGGTAGAATAAGTTCTGTGACAGCGTGCGGTGTTTTTCAGTTCGGTCTTCGCAGACTTAATAGAAGACTTAATAGTTCGGTCTTCGCAGACGGTCATTAATATGCGTTATTCGGAACTAACACTTATTTAGTGGATACAGTACTTTGCTTCGGTAAATGTTGCAATTTCTTACCCCCCTCCCGAAAAAAAAAAAAAAAAAAAAAAAAAAAAAAACACCCGCTAAATTTGTCGATGAAGTTAGGATGAATGGATTCAAGATGTCGCTTTAACTTACTTGGGAGCATAGTTTCGAGTGCAAAGATTTTTTAAGCAGACAATGCATCTGCCATCGTTGACTTTCATCATTGATTACTTCTATCGAAGTAAAATAATAAAAGTAACTATCATTGAAGTTACGGCATTTTTACTTCTTTTCTCCTCCGCCACTTGGCGATGCTTTATCATTCAAATTTGAGCGGTCGTTACTATAAATTTGTTCGTTTAATAAAAGTCTTTTCATTTTGCGAATCATATCTTTCATTTTGCATTAAGGACTCGTCGATTTATTGCAATATTTCGTCGAGATCACGACTTTTTCTTCATAGACGTATAAGACTGTACGACTTTCCCGCACGCACGAATTCGATACTAATAGTCGCGAGCGGCAAAAAGAAATGCCAACAGATGTCAATGCTGAGAAGACAAATATTGCAATCTTGTGACAGTAAGTAACAGATGCAAAAAATATACGAAAATAACTTAATACAAATCTGACTCAGTAGCATGGAATTATTTGAAAATTGAAAGAACTAAATGATAAAATAAAATGAGGCTTTAAGAAATGAAATTGATAGCAAGAATTGCTTTATATTAAAATAGAAATAAAACTGTTAAAAATGTAATTTAAATGGTATTATATGCACAAAATAAATATAAGTATTGAGAAAAACTTCAAGAACTATTGTCTCAAGAAATGGTATAAAAATTACTGAAACGTATTAATGAATGCATAATTAATGAAAACTTAGTGAAAAGCATTAATGAACGTATAATTAATGAAAAATATGACCGAGAGTTCAACGCGCCTTGTCTGTCCGTGATACAAGGCAAGAGGCGCTTCGCGACGCACACTTTGGAAAGCCCCGTATTAGTCATTTCGTTTTCTCGCTATTCTATTGCAAGTTCGAATTTGGTATATTACTTGATAACAAAAAAAAAAAAAAAAAAAAAAAAAAAATTGATGCGATAACTATTAATGCCTGCCATCATAAATACAAGCTGAG